ATCCACAACCAGCCTCGAACGTATCCCTATCCCTAAGATGGGCGAGCCAGAAGCGAGGACAATCCTAGGGATAGGCCCTCTCAGAAACTGAGGGAATCCTTGAGATCGGCATCGAGGTGAGGTGATGTCAAACACAGGGATAGGGATATGTTTCAAACTGGTAAATCCGCTGCCTTGCTCCGCCTGTTCGACGCTCTGCTGCTCCTCTCTCGGCCCAACCTCCGCCGGGGCTCTTTGGGTCTGCTTGGCGCCGCCAGCGTAGCGCACACCCCTGGCAAGGATGCCCTCTGGCATCTTTTCGCGGACATCCGAATTCCAAGGTTTTGAGTCCCCATCGAATTCCCCCCCCTCCTAACCCATCGCCCTGCTGGTCCTGTGCCGCCCCCCTCGGTCAGGGGCCATCTCGATCGTAGGGAGCGCCCCATATCTTGGACGAAACAGGCCGTGGGTGTTTGCAGCGCAAGGGGTCCTCTTCCCTGGGGGAGATTCGCGTGTGGAGAGCCAGCCCCCGCCTGTGGCTCGTTCCTGTTGATGGGTCCCTTCGGGCGCTTTCCAAGGACACGGAGCTGCACATCGCGGGGGGTGGGGTGGGCCTACTCCGGTCATGCCTTGCGGTGTCAAGCCACGTTGAACATGTGGTTCTGTGCCTGTGGCATGTTCTGTGAGCAACTGTTAGTCCGTTTGGGGAAGGCGTGTACACGGTTGGCTACCTCGACTCGTGCTGGAAACCTCGCCAGAATTAGCCGCGGACTGTGTCCCAAGCCTTACAGCAAGGCTCAGATGGCCAAGAGGGCTCCCAAGGGGCTCCAGTGTTGATGTGTAGGGTTGGGCATACGTCGTGAACTCGTGCTCTTACTTACCCCTCCTCCTCCTCCTCCTCCTCCTTCTCATCCTTCTCCTCCTCCTCCTCCTGCTCCTCCTCCTCCTCCTCCTCCTCCTCCTCCTCCTCCTCCTCCTCCTCCCTCTCGTCCTGCACGCTCCCCTCCCTCACCCCGACCCCCGACCCCCGACCCCCTGCAGGTGTGCCGCACGGGATGCCCCGCGGGCGCGCCACAGAGGGTGCAGACCACCACCGCCGAGCTCCCCGACTCCCATCCGCCCGGCCCCCCCCTTCTCCGGGCTGCGGCGGCGCTCTTCCTCTGGCTGCGGCGGTGCGCATGAAGGGGGGTTGGGTGGGGGCGGCGGGGGCGGCACTCCCGAGACGGCACCCCGCGTCGTGGACGACCTCCTGCCTCCTGCAGTGCCTCCTCGGATGCTTCCGCGTGGGAGGCGCCGGTTCCCTCTGGCAGGCTTCCCCCCCCCCTGCCTTACTCAGAGGGCCACCTCCGTATGGCGGCCACCTCTGCGCGCCACGAGAAGCCGCGCCCCTCGAGGTCGGGAGGGGAGCGGGAGAGCCGCGCAATCGGGGGCCGCGGCGGGCCCATCAGGGAAAAACCGTCGCTCACGGAGGGGGGGGAGGAAGAGGAAGAGGAGGAGGAGGAGGACCAGGGTAAAACCCAAGATGCATCAACGACGTTGGAGTAAACTCTCCCTCCAAGTTCCCTCTTCATAGGCCCCATACAACGGTTCATTTCCAGTGAGGGAACTGCCTCGTTGGAAGACACCCGCTTGAAGACCCTGGAGCATGCCTAAACATTGTTCTCGGGATTCGAACGCCACGGATCAATATGACTGTTGCGTCTTGGCCATCCTGAATCGTGCCAGAACGCCATTCTTAGAACTCCAACTCGTGAAACGCTTGCACATTTGAAACAAAAAACAACGAATGTGCGCCGCGCTAGGGCGAGAACAACATGTTGAAAAGGACCCACCCTCAATCCGTGGAGCTCTTGCATTTTGTTCAAGCGAATGAGCGCCGCGCTAAGACGAGAACCACATATTCAAAACGACCCGCCCTCAATCCGTGAAGCTCTTGCAATGTTTCGTAGCGAGTGTGCGCCGCGCGTAGGCGAGGAGCCACAGCTTGAAACCGGCCCGCCTTCACCCCAGGATACCCTTGCAATGTTTGAGGGAACGAATGTGAAAAGCGCTTAGGCAAGACCCGCATCTTGACATCGACCCGCCACATAGTGGAACCGACCCGCCCTCCAGCTGCGAAGCTGATTTTTAAGCTTCAGGATCATACATGGTGGGAGGCCTCGGGCGAAACGCCCAGCCCGCCCTAAAAAACTGGGCTCGGGGTGCGACAGGGAGAAACTATTTAGTAAGAGAGGGGAATTGAGGAGGAGGAGGAGGAGGAGGAGGAGGAGGAGGAGGAGGAGGAGGAGTGGAGTGGCGACACCGAAAAGCGGGCAGGAGCTCCCGCCGCCCTCAGCCGCCCGCGACCGCCGCGGGCGAAGCGGCGCCGCTAGCCCACGCTTGCGTGAAGTCCGGATTCCCTTGCGGGCCTCGCCACGCACAGCCCCCCACTCCTCCCCCCCGCCCTCTGCGTGCAATCGGGGGCGCTTGGGGGGGAAAAGAGAAAGAGAAGGCCTTCCCAGATGGCTCCGAAACTCTCCGGCCTCCTGAGAAGTTTTCTGAGCCTGCCCCGAAGACACGGAACACTTCTCAAAGGCCAGAGGGCTTCTCAGAAGCCCCGCCGCCTTCTGAGAAGGCCTCCTCCTTCTCATTTCCCCCCTCGCTCGCCGCCGATGCAAGCAAGCCTGCTGCAACCTCGCGAAAGTGGCGACGGTTGCGCAGCTCGCAGCCACCCAGGGAGCAACGAGGTCTCGTCTGGGTGCGCGCGGCCCCCGACTGAGCTGGACCTTCCAGCAGCTCACGAAAGTGCTGACGCTTGCGTCTCGGCTGGGCGCGCGCGCGCGCCCGTACACGAGCCCACGACAGCGGCGAAGGTTGCGAAACTTTCGCAGCCACCCAATAAGCAGCGCAGGACTCGGCTGGATGCGCGTGGCCCCCGACCCCGCTGAACCTCGCAGGAGCCCACGAAAGTGGCGACGCTTGCGCAGCTCGCAGCCACTCAGGGAGCCCCGAGGTCTCAACTGCATGCGCGTGGCCCCCGACTCCGCTGGACCTCCCAGGAGCCCACGAAACTGGCGACGCTTGCGATGCGCGTGGCCCCCGACCCCGCTGAGTCTCCTAAGAGCCCACAAAAGTGGCGACGGATGCGCAGCTCGCAGCCACCCAGGGCGCAACGCAGGACTCGGCTAGATGCGCGTGGCCCGCCACTCCGCTGGACCTCCCAGGAGCCCACGACAGCGGCAACAGATGCTCAACCTTCGCAGCCACCCTGGGAGCAGCGAGGACTCGGCTAGATGCGCGTGGCCCCCGATCCCGCTGAATCTCCCAGGAGCCCACGAAACTGGCGACTTTTGCGCAGCTCGCAGCCGTACAGGGAGCAGCGCAGGAGGAGGAGGAGGAGGAGGAGGAGGCTGACGGCAGGAGGGAGGCAGGGAGGAAAAGGAAGGCCAGAGAGGTGGAGACCAGAGTGCTCGACTCAAAACGAGAACCCAACACAGGAGGGTTGGAGAAAAGTGTACGATGTCGAACAGCGCATGCTTTCCAAAACTGACGACGGCAGGTGTCGGGCAGGCGACTTTTCAGTCGTGGCGACACTGGCAGCGAGTCTGGTTCGAAATGCACTGGGGCTGCTGTCGGTCTTCGTCTCGTGCCCATGCCTTCCCCTCCCGAAACGTCCGATGCCTTGATGTTGCAATACAGGGTCCCAGGAAAATCCCAACTCTTTCCCCAAGACCGTTTCTTCATCCTCGGAATCCGAAGACGGCCAAAAAACATGTCGCCATGATCTTCTCGCGACGCGGCCATGTCTTGGGCCGGGAGCCACACATCTACATCTGGACCCATACTGGGATGCGTCGTGCCCACCGCCGAAGCGGATCCAGCCGTTGCCACTAGGATGCCAGAAACAAGCACCGAAATCTCTCCAAAATCCGGGCGCCGAGTGGCAGCCCGCGGAGATCTGACGTCGCGACATTAAAAAAAAACAAAGCGAAACAATCACACACCGAGCCCTAGACCTTGTATCCTCACGCCGCTTATCGTGGCGGATCGATACGTGAGGGCCCCGGGGCCCCAGGTTGTGCGAGCACGCCCGGTGTGAACTGTTGCAACGTGCAGACCTCAGGGCTCCTCGGCGACGCGCGCAAGGGGGGCAGGAGGAGTGGGGCAAGGCTTCTTCGAAAGGGGGCTGCTTCTGAGCAGGCGCCAGCCCCACAACTCTCTCTTTCTCAGTCTTTCTTTGTTTCCTCTTTCTCTCTCTCTCTCTCTCTCTCTCTCTCTCTCTCTTTACATGCATACATACACATATACATACACATATGCATATACATGTGCATATGTATATATATATATGCGTATAGGCATACACCTAGATATGTGTATCTATGCATCTATGTATGCCTATACATAGACATATAGATATACATATACACAAACATAAAAATATGCATAGACATACACATATACCTACACATATACATAAACATATACATATACGTACACATCTACATATACGTACACATATACCTATACCTATGCATATGCATATGCATATACAATTGCTTATACACGTACATGCACATATACATATACGTATACATACACATGTACATATACAGATACATATGTATGTATGCATATGTAGATTTACAAATACATATGCATACATATGCATATAATCATACATACACCTATATATACATATACGTATATATATACACATACATACATATACATGTACATGTACATATACACATACAAATACAAACACACATAGAGAGTGTGTGTGTGTAAGGCTCGCGCCTTCCCATAAGGAAGGCTGCTTCTAAGAAGCCTTCCCCCCTCCCCGAATCCTACGACGGAACCAGGACGAGGGGAACATCGGGTGAGGACGCATCGAGAACTTCTGGGCTCCGGCGGCTTAGCAAGAGGCCTCGGGCGCCGCGGCCTTCTCGGAACGGCTTTCTATCCTCGTCCTGGCCCCGTCCGACCTGCCCCCCTGCGCACGGCCGAGCTCCCGTTGCGTCGGGCGAGGGCGCAGGGGCCTGTCGGAGACGTCCACCGGCTCGGCCCCCAGGCCGGCCTGGTCTGCGCCAGCGCCGCGGCAGGCCTCCGGGGGCGACCGCAGCGAGGCGCAGGCGACCGAGAGCAGGGATCCGGGTCGCTCCAGGGGCTCCTCTGTGGAGGGGCCGCGTGAGAGGGAGCTCCAGCTGCACTCGGCCGCGTCCTGCTCGTGCTCCTCGCCTCCTCGTGCTGCTCCTGCGCATCAGGATGCTGCTCCTCCTCCTCCTCCTTCTTCTTTTCCTCGCCTCCCCCGTCTCCTGTTGCTGCTGCTGCTGCTGCAGCTGCTGCTGCTGCTGCTGCTGCTCCTCCTCCTCCTCCTCCTCCTCCTCTTCCTCCTCTACGTCCTCCTCCTCCTCCTCCTCCTCCTCCTCTTCCCATCCCTTTCCGCTACGAACAAGTCCAAACTGCCGCAACCCCAAACGTGTCGGTTGGGCAGTCCAGGCGTTTCGCCTGAGACTTCGCCACAGCTTATGAGATTGCAGCTCGAACTTCGCACAACATCTTCACATGTTGAGGGCAAGTCGTTTTCAACATGTGGCTCTAGCACAAGTGCCAGGCACATTCGTCCTAAAAGTCTGCACCAGCTTGAAAGATGGAGGGCGGCTCCTCTTCAAAATGTGGCTCTCGCCTTGGTCACGCTTCAGCCGTTTTCAAAGTTTCACAACATCAGCGATGAAGGGAAGGCCCTTTTCGACATGAGGTGCTCGCTTTCGCGCCGCGCACACTCGCCCTAACAGTTAGCAGCAGCTATGAGAATGGAGGGCGGGCCGTTTCCATGAGGCGGCTCTGGCTCCAGCGCCGCGCACCTTGTCTTTCAACCTTGCACCAGTTCTGAAAAAGGAAGAGCGGCTCCTCGTCAAAATGTGGCTCTCGCATGAGAGCCGCACACATCCGCTTTCAAAATCTGAACAGGTTCGAACGCTCTAGTGGTAGAACTGCCAGGAGGGTTGTCAAGACACGATGTCGGATTGTCACTATCCAACAGGATCGTTGAATCGCGGTGTGGAAGTCCCAGGAATGGCGTTCTGGTGCGATTCTGGGTTGTCAGGACACACCCGTCATGCTGATTCCCGGAGTTGAGCTCCCAGGAACGGTGTTTCTCAGACGCCTGTCTTCCAATAGGGCACTTCCTGCAGTGGAAATACATTATTGTAGGGACCTGCGAAGGAGCTCGGAAGGAGGATGTACATGTTACAACAATGGTGGTGCATCTTGGGCTTGTGATGTCTAACAACTGTTTTCAAAATACTTTGGGGGGACAGTTAAAGCATGTTTTTTTCCCCAGCGCTGTAGTGCGCCTATAGAAAACAAAAGGGACGCGGGGCGAACTGGATCGCTGGAGACGCCCCCGCGACCGCCTTGGCGCCCTGCGCGCAGGGGCAGACTCCTGCGCACCCCCTCCTGGCGCCAGGCCACGCCTGCCAGGCCCTGCGACCCCAGCGTGGATAGAGACTGCGCTCAGGGACCACTCCCTGCGCACCGCGCACCCTGTCTGGGTTGCGAACAAGCCACACCTGACACGCCCGAGCCTGGAGTGGAAAGAGACCGCACTTGGGGACCATCCCTTGCGCACGCCCTCTGGTGCCGAGAGGGCCACAAGTGCTTTAAGATGGCCTCCAAGATGGCGCAACATGGTCCTGGATCAACAGGACAGGAGAGGGACTAGACCAGGTTACGACGAAGGCCGGATCGCCCTCCAGGCCAAAAAGGCCCTCAGCAAGCCGCTCAGTTCGAGGCCGCACCAAGGATACAACAGGTTTCAGCGAAGGTCGCACCGCCCTCTGGGTCAAATTTGCGGGGCTAAACCAGGACACGATGAAGGTCGTCCCCCCTCTGGGCCACGCAAGCGGGGCTACACCAGGTTACAACGAGGGCCGGCGCGCCCTCCAGGCTAGACAGAAGGGGCTACACCAAGCTAGAATGACATCGGCATTCTCCCTGGTACCGAGGTATAACAAGTGGCATCGATCGGCATCCATGGATTTTTCCAGGGGGGGGCAGATCAAAAATGATTATTCGGATGCGAATTAATGGCAATCGGGATCCGGGGGGGGAGGGGGGGGTCATCATGTTTAAAACCGGTCTTGGACATTACGGGTTATCTTCCTCCTCCTTCTCCTCCTCCTTCTAATGCAACATTGTTGATGCGTCTCGAGATTACTTACAGTGCTCCTCCTCCTCCTCCTCCTCCTCTTTCGTCCTCCTCCTCCTCCCTCCTCCTCCTCTCTCCTCTCTCCTTTCTTCCTCCTCCTGTTTTCCAGGCCCTCCTCTACAAAGACCGAACACAACCCATCCCAGGCATAGCCGCGCCTTGGAAAAAATCACGGCGGGAGGTGTTGGCTGTGCTCGGCCCATGTGGGCGCCCTTGCTGGGCCCCACCTTGGTATGAAACACGCCCGCCCCTTGGAAGGAGTCGACGCCTCTTGGGGTCGGCGCTGAAGTCTGTTAAACCAAAAAATAATGACACTAGAGAAAAACCCCAATCAGTGGATGGTTTTCGCTGAGGAGATCAGATCGACTAGGAACCCGGGAGCCCGGGAACCCAAAACCCACCGAAATCGGCCCGGACCCAATAAGCGGGAACCCGGGAACCCAGAACCAGGAACCCGGGAACTCAGCCTGCTACCAAAATCGGCGAGAAACTTTCGCCCAATCTTCCAACTTCCGTTGGGACCCCTTCAGTGCAACCGCTTATTGGGGAATCGCACAACAAACAACACACAAAAGAACCATGACGTCGGGTGTCGCTGCTCGCGCGTGGCGCCCCCCACGAGGCGCGATGAGGTTCGCGCCACTGCGCCGCCGCCCGATGGAGGAGGCCCTCGGGTGAGCAGGATCAGGCCCGCGGGCGCTCGACGGGCGGCGCCCTTGACAAACAAAAGCGCTTCGGGATTTAAATAAATAGTATATATATATATAAACATATATGTACATATATATATATATATGTACCTCAAAAAAATTAAACATTATGAAACGATGGTCCCCTGACTATGTTTGAATCCCCCTGTACAGGGACAGGCCCGACTTAGTATTAAAACAGCAGAACAAGGCATACGTAGGCACAAACTGTCGGAGGTCTACGCGGATCTCTTGGAGCTGCACCGCGCCCGCAGAGCGCGCCTGGAGGCGGCGTGGGAGGCGAAGCCACCGGACGCTTGGGGCAGATCCAGGAGATCAGCGCGGACCTCCGATTATGTTTGTGCAGCGGTTTCTTCTTATTATGTGTCGTCTTCTTCTAGAACAAGAAAATGCCACATAAACATACATCTTGGCGCTCCACGAGGATTTCTTGGATTCGCGCTGGAGCCCCCCCTCCGGAGCGCGCCAGGGGCGGCGCCGGAGGCGCCGCCAGGGGGGCCCAGGCGCGGGTCCGAGAAATCCGCGCGGAGCGCCAACAGTTCATGTTCATGCGGTTTTTTCTCCTTCGATCTTCGACGCTCCTGGGCACAGACGCCTTGCGAAAGATGGCCACGGGCGGCTTTCCCGGGGACGCGGGCCTCGATGCCAGCCCGTCCCGGGCCCAGGGGGCCAGCAGAGAAGAAAACGGCACGCCAGCGCAGCGCCCGGGGAGCGGGGTCGAGAGCGCCGGGGCCCTGTCCACGCCAGTCCGCCTGCACCGGCTGATGGGCCTGTTTTCCACCACCACCACCAGAAGTTGGAGGTGGGAAAGAGGAGGAGGAGGAGGAGGAGGAGGAGGAAGAGGAGGAGGAGGAGGACGTAGAGGAGGAAGAGAGGAGGAGGAGGAGGAAGAGGAAGAGGAGGGCCCCCTCCCCCTCCAACTTACGGTGGAGGTGGTGGTGGTGGTGGAAAACGGGCCCGCCACCTGCCCCCTCTCATCGCCTCCCCTTCCCTCTCTGCCTCCCCGAGGCGCCGCCCTCCATTCGGTCGTGGACAAATCTCCCTTCAGCAAACCTCCCTTTCGTGAACACGGCCTGGGACCGACACCGACGGACCTGGACCCGCAAAGATGACGGCCGCGAGGCCCTCTCGCGAACCGAGAAGCGGCCAAGTCGTTCATCGACGTGTCAGGTTAGGAAGTCGATCAACCTCCGATCCGCCACCCCACCAACACGAGGAGAAGACAACACAGGGTCCCAGCGGCTCCTCGCCCGAAGGAGTCTTGCGCGCGCTGCAGCCGTAACCGTCGCAGCTCAGCAGGGCCCCGTCCAGAAAGACAAGCGGCAGGCCGACGTGGCCTTCGAAGCCCTCCGTGTCGATACGCTCCAGGGCCTCCAAGGCGTTGTCGGTGTAGCTCTTGCTGTGCATGAGCGGGGAGGAAGAAAAGGTGCCACGCCGCCCGCCCACCGACCCGAACAACTCTAGAAGAGGAACAGACGGCATGCACCGAACGCTTCGGAATCCGGGGATTCCAGCGCCGGCCCAAGAAATCTGCGCAAAGACCCAAACGCTGATGCTGACGCAATTCTGCTAGTGTCTGAGAGCGGAAGGGGAGTGGCACCCGTCTCCGCTCCCCGATGAAGTCGAACACATCCCTGCTGGCGATGCAGTCGTCTATGTCGTCCAGGGGGACGCCTGCAACCTCCGCGCAGTTCCTCACCGTGTCCCTGCCGGGGGAGGAGCTCATTCTTGTGCACCGCGGTCGGCTACACGCCAGAGTGACCCTTGGTAAGAGTGACCTTTGGTGCACGGCTTTTTGGGGGCCGCGGGGAGACCAAACCTGGGCGCGCAAGCCGCTTGTACCGCTTTATTCTCAGCCATCTGAGGGCCCGTCAGTGCCCGCACCGCAGGTCACTCCGGCGAAAGGTCACTCTTACGCCTAGTCGACGTGGAAGCGGAGCCGTGGGGAGTCCGACAAGCGCGGCCCAGGGTTGTCAAGCTTCCCAGATTCGGCGATCGCCGATCGTCTGATGTACTCCGAGTTGCTCGACGACCTCCTCCTCCTCCCTCCTCCCTCCTCCTCCTCGCTCCTCCCTCCCTCCTCCTCCTCCTCCTCCTCCTCCTCCTCCTCCTCCTCCTCCTCCTCCTCCTCCTCCTCCTCCTCCTCCTCCTCCTCCTCCTCCCCCTTGTAGGGACTGCCTGGCACCCGCGCGGGGATGGATCGCTTGGGGGGGGTCTGAAGGGGGCCGAAGCCTTCGCGGGGCGTGGGGCATGGTGGATCGTATCAGGGGTTGGGTTCGGTCTCCGTGGTCGGGGGCTGGAGGAGAAGGAGGAGGAGGAGGAGGCGGAGGAGGAGGAGAAGGAGGAGGAGAAGGCGGCCGAGGAGGAGGCGGAGGCGGAGGCGGCGGAGGCGGCGGAGGCGGAGGAGGCGGAGGAGGCGGAGGAGGGCGGAGGAGGAGGAGGTGCCCATGGCCCAAAGTGCCCCCCAGAAACATGAACGGTTTAACGTGCCGTGTCGTGGCACGTATGTTGCGCAAGTGACCTCGGACGAAGAGACGACGACGCCCTCTCCGCCCGTAGCAGATTGCATGAGACGATGCGGGGTCGTTGCTGCAGACATTGTGGCCAAGCGATCCCAAACCCGTCGGACGAGCCATGACGAAGTGAGATAACACGTTTACCTCAAAAGTCAGACATCGAGACAGAGCAAATCACCGTCCCGTTCCCCCTCCAAAGCAAAACAAGAGCATCTGGAAACATGAGCAACTTCGACATTCGTATCAATCAAAACCAGCCTGGGCGAAAAGCATTAAATTTCCGCATCGTCTGCTCGAGCTATGTTCCAGTGTCTTTCGTTGGAGCCCTTTCTCATCTGCAGCCTATCCAAGCGCAGCGCTCCAGACCTCGGTGTCTGGCAGGCCACGCAGCCGATCGCAGCACTGGGTCGCGCGATCAGAGCATGGAGCGATAAAACTCAGGTGATGCCTACCATGATGACCACTGGCCAATCGCGCTACCAAACCAATAAGCCACGCGATTGGGACGTCATGCGATCAACCGTCGCGCGACTGGGACTGGCTATCTCGACCATGTCCTCACATCAGTGTCTGACTTCCCCCACTCGGAGGGTGCTGTCCCAGCGGAGACGCCACTCCTGACTATTGCGGGAGCTGCGCGTCTGACGCACTGTGTCCTCCTCGGAGAAGCACATACCAGTACAGTCCGGGTCGGGCGCACCCCTCCGAGGAGGGCATACTGATACCCTATGCCCGCTTGGGAGGCGTGCGTCCGACCCGAACATCTAGGACAACATCTTGTAATACACCGTTTCCCGAGCGATGCGCCCCGAAAGCGCCCGCCACGAGGCATCTAACATCAGAGTTCTAGGCTTATGTTGTTCCCATCCGACTTGAGGACCGCATCCCAGAAATAATGTCGAGCAACCGGGAAAGTTTCAAAAGAGTGTCGAAACAGTGTCGGGCGAGTGACTCCCCAGGGCCCGACACGTGAAAACCGTCGAGTTTCGGTACTTTTTCCTGGCGCTCGAAAGTCTTCCTGGTGATCAGGGCTAAAGTAGGTTGGAGCATTCGGATTCCAGGCACGCGCGTCGCCCCTCCGGGGGCGACGCACGCGCAGTAGCAGTAGTACGCCCGGGTGGCGCCGAGCGCGGGCTGCCCGAGCGGACGCCCCCCCTGGAATTGGGTCCGGCACGTCCTCCTACAGGCGGATGTTGACGGGCTAAAAAACAAACAACCAACAGCCATTCAAACATACTCAATTATGTTCTCACTATTTTGTAATTGTTTTCTGGATATCCAAACTATTTTCTCACTATTGTCTAACATTCTATATATTTTCTGGATTATGTTCCTACCATTTAATGGTATCCAGACTATGTTCTAACTATTCTTGGATGCTCCTCCTGTAGACAGGGGCACGCCCGACTGGAGGCCGGCGGGCGAGGCTGGCACGGCGCCCCAGCGGCGGGCAGGGGGGAGAAGAATCGTTGGGAGGGGCGGGCCGCGCGGGCGGCCCTCCTCGGGGCCGCCATCGGGGGGAGGGCGTCCTCTCGAGGGCGCGTGGCGGATGGAGCGGCACCGGGCCGCGCTCGCATCCGTGGGCGTCCTGCGAGAACGGAGGCAGGAGGATGGCGAGCTCGGAGGAGGATGATGGGCCCATTCTCCACCACCGCCACCACCACAGGCAGGAGCGAGGGGGGAGGAGGAGGAGGAGGAGGAGGAGGAGGAGGAGGAGGAGGAGGAGGAGGCGGAGGAGGAGGAGGAGGAGGAGGAGGCGGAGGAGGAGGGGAACCTCCTCATCCTTTTCTCTCTCTCTCTCTCTCTCCCCTCCTACATGTGGGAGCGTTGGTGGAAAATCTGCCCATCAGAGGATAAATACGGGATCTGTGCGAGCCCGCGGGGCTGGACCATCTGTATCGGGCGCCGAGGCCGTTCCTGGGCATCCCCGCATGGAGCCCTGGAGCAGCTGATTTTTCTTACTCTCGCCCTGCCCGTCCCTATCTCAGATTGCGTGTCCGACGTCCAGATCTTGCGATGAAATGGGCCCCGGGCCCGGACCTCTACAACCCATGCCATCCCGGGCTCCTAAGATGCGGTCCCGCGGGGCCCAGCACGAGGTTGAGCCCGAAGACTGTGCATGAACCTGGCAGCATGGATGTGAGGGCCGAGGTCTCCTCCCCATCAACCTCTTCCTCCTCCTCTGGGCCCTGGAGTCAGAAAGCTCCCTCTACAGGCTACGAATCTACGTTTTTTGAGTCAGGGGGGTGGGGCGATACCTCAAAATCGCCGTCCCAGAGCTGCTGTTCTGAGGCACGTGCTGGTCAAAATCACTCACATAAGAAATGCGGTGCCGTCCGGGAATCGTCCTGAGCATTCCCAGGACGGCGCCGACGCGAATCGTGCCGTGACAAGCCCGCTCACCCCCTCCCCCGGTCCCCGGTCACGCCGCTGTCGAAACGCTCTCCAACGCACCCCGTCGCCCAGCCCTCAGATCTGACGTCGCAGACAAATTGCAACACCGCGAAGAAACACGACAGAAGCCCTAGACCCTAGACCCCATCTTTCTGCGCGTGAGAGCCCCAGGCCCAGCACCCAGCGAATACGCCCGTGTTGAAAGATTGCAACGCCATGATCTCAGGGATAGAAGACGATCTCCAGAGCACCTCGCCGCCCCGCCGACCAGGCGCCCCCGAGCCCGCGGCGTGTGGCCCACGCTGCACTCCACGAAGCGGAGCGCGGCGAGGAGCTCCGGCGAGTCCGCCGGGGCTGGTGGGGGAGCCTATCGGCGGCGGGGCCGCGTGGCCATGTTAGCCGAGGCGGCCCCACTTGGAGAAGGGTGAGGACCGCGCGTATACACACTAAGGTGTCTGGCCCCTGCCCCATGGGGCTTCGCAGCAACGCCACGGGACACCGATAGTGCATATGTCGCTGGCCAGTCGTCTGGGCGACAGGTGCTTAACACAATCCATGTGTGTATGTATGTATGTATGTATATATATATATACATATATATATATATGTATTATGTGTGTGTTCCGCACATGTCGCCCAGAGAACTGATACACTTGTCGCTCAGCACCTGTCGCTCAGCACCTGCCGCCCAAAACATATATATATATATATATATATATAGAAAAAACTTATGATAAACGCACGTGTAGATAAGCCGTCGCCGCCCCGTCACGGCCTCGTCGCCACTCGTCCTCTGGGCCGTGTGGGCGGTCTGGCGGCCATGCTCCCGCCGTTGCCGCCCCGTCGCCGCCGCTGGATTGCACCACGTGGATTCCAAAAAAAACGCCTCTGGAAAGGATTTTGATCGCTCACAGCATAGAGTGCACCATGTACATTGCACAGCAATGATTACATCACATACATTGTAAACATATGTTGCGCAACACCGTAACTCAACATTTATATATAATTATAAATATATGTATATATATATAGATATGTAAATAATTATCACCATATCACTTGCACAGCATGGATGCACGACGTAGGCTGCACAACAAAGATTGCGCAATCAGATCAGTTGCACAACCTAGATAGCAAATAGTAGATTGCACCACGCATATTGCAACGCATAGACTGCACCACACATATTGCAAGACATGTGTTGCCCAGCGTAGTTTGCATCACATAAGTAACACGATGTTGCTTTAGCGCCTGTGGCGCGCTATCCGATCGCTCACAACATGGATTGTGCTACAGAATCGTAGTTTGCTCCGCATATCCTGTACATTCGAGATTGCGCAACATAGATGGATTCACATCTATTGCACTACGTAGATTTCACAGCATACGTAGCAACTTGTACACTGCACACCAAGTACTGCACGACTCACATTGCCAAAAACACACATCCGTTGGGGTCCACGCCGGCTACACACATATAGAGAGAGGTATGCATACAGTGTCTGGGCCGCAATGTGTCACTAGGTGGTGGACAGACATAGCACGTTCTGGTGGACGTGTTCCTGGCCGCGACACAGGTGCATGGGTGCTCCCTCCATCTTTGGGGAAACCAAAAGGTACCGATACCGCTACTCCCCGGACCTCTCCTGGGGTGCGTCTGACCAGGATTTCGCGGGGAACCCAGCAATCGCGACGAGGGCCGCCCAGGAGGCCCCAAAAAGGAAAAACGGGCGGAGGGCAGCGGTAACCGTACCTCTCCCTCCTCTGAATCTCGGCCGATGCGGCCCCTGCTCCGGCTCGCCCCGCGACGAGCGTCGGCGTGGGCCCCCCGGCAGCCTCAGCGGGCTGCGGCCGCGGGGTGCTTGTGGCGGCCGCGTGCAGCGCCTGGCCGCCTCGGGCGCGCGAAGGCGCCGGCCAGCGGCCGAGACAGGGAAAGCGCCGCCCCTCGGTCCCATCTGGGGCCGTCAGGCGGCGCGTGTGAGAAACGCGTGTGAGGTAGGCCAGCCAGAAGGCGCGTGTGAGGTAGGCCGGCCAGAAGGCGCGTGTGAGGTAGGCCGGCCAGAAAGGGCGAGAGCAGCCAGGCGGCGCAGCCCTTGCACACCCAGTGCAGCCGCGCTGCCGAAAAAACCTGGTACGTCTGCATCGGCCAGCTCACTTGGGATAGGCAGTGCCGGTAGCGCCAGGCTCTGCCGCGTCGCCCGCCGCTGCGCGCGAGGCAGCGATGCCGAGCTAAGCTGCCACGGGTGAGCACCTGGCGTTGTCTGCCGTCTCGGGACCCAGAGCCCCTCGAGGAATGCCGCAGAAAATGTGCCGCGGGTGCCACGCCGCGGTTGTTCCACTGTTACCGCATGTGGTTGATTAGTGATGATACGAGTCGAACTTCTTTCCCACGCCAAACACCAGGGGTGACATAACCGCATTCCAAATCACAAGGTCGCCAGGCAAACCGGGAACACCACACAAGCCGACCTGCAATGGGCAAACCCATGCCATGAACCGCGGCCTGACCAACAAATGAACAACGCGCTTGCGACAAGAGGGAGGAGGCGGGAGGACGAAACGAGAGGAGAAGAGGGAGAAGGGAGAACCCGGTGGGGCGCACAGCGTGGACCAGCGACTGATCGGAAATAATATCAAAGGACGACGGCACGCATCATCAGACGAGCGCGATGCCCGAACGCCGTTAGACCAACAGTGCATGACAGTGGAAACGATGACGAACAATAACATAGTATGACAAGAAACACGAAGGACGGGGGAGGACGGGAAGGAGATAGGTGAAACGCAGAGGGGGAGGATGAGACTGGTCGAACGATAGCGGCGCCTGCAGATGACTCTGTGTAGATATGTGTGTAAAGAAGTCTGGGCCAACACATCGATCCGGGATGGTTATGTAATTCGACAGCTAACGCTACGACCGAATGGTCAGGTCGATGTGGACAAGAAGTAGGAGCGGTCGATTGGCAGACTCTCTACCTGATACCCGCGACCGATCGGTACAATGGCAAAGGTGCCCATGCGCATGTGCGAGATGCACCACGTGAACAGTCGTAGATTCCCCAAAAGCACTGCCTGCTCCTGAGGGGGTCTTGGCTCTGAGGAGCTGGGCCGTGTGGGCGGTCTGGCGGCTCCGTTCCCGCCGCCGCCGCCCCGTCGCCGCCTCGGCGCCGCCCGTCGTCTGGGCCGTGTGGGCGGTCTGGCGGCCGTGCTCCAGCCGCCGTAGCCCCGTCGGCGCCTCTTCGCCGCCCGTCGCCACCGTTGGACGGCACCTCGTGGCTTGAACGAAGGAAGAAAAACGCGCCACCACGTGCACCGCATAAGCTGTACAGCAATGGTTGCACAACCAGATCGATCTCACAACCTAGATTGCACAACATGGGTTGTGCCAACAATGTTGCAACGCATAGGTTGTACCACGTAGATGGCACCGCGTAGATCACAGCGCATATATTTCATAAGTTTGTGTTCGCGCCTGCAGCGCGCTTCTCGATCGCTCAAAACATAGGCCACACCATACATACATATACATACATATATATAGTTATATGCATGTATATGTATATGTATTTTTGTGTACATATGTACAGGTTGCACAACATGGGCTCCAACACATAGAGTGCACACCGCAGACTGTACTAGATGTATGGATATATACATATTGCACCACATGAGCTGCAGTTGCTGCCTATGAACCAGATGCTTGGTGTCCACATCTATGAATTTGTATGTGGATACCAGAAGGGGGAAACAAGGGAGAGAGAGAGAGAGAGCGAGAGAGAGATAACACATATTGTCATCACATGCGAGATCGACATCGATTCAAAACATGCGAACCCGACCAGATGTAACTCCCAAACTGGCAGCTACGCCGAACCTCCATTTCACCCGAAGGGTGATCCATGAGGCACATCCTGGCTCCCCTACACGCGCACACACACACACACACGCACATCTCGCGGAAATGGTTTGGGCCACAAGCCATTCTGCATCTTTCCCTCCCTCTCCTTCGTCCTCTCCATCTGTACCACCATGTCTGTATTTCTGTAGTTTTTGTTGTTATCTCTCTCTCTCTCTCTCTCGTTCTCTTCATGATGCAGTTCGTCATGTATGTGTTTCTTGGTTTCTCGCGCTCCTTCTCATTTTCTCCGTACTTGTCTCTGTGTCTTGCTTTCTCTCTCTCTCTCTCTATTCCTGTCGCTCTCTCTCTCTCTCTCTTTCTTTCTATTTGTCCATCTATCTCCCTCGCTCTTTCGAGCTCCCTCACCTCGCGTCGGATCGCTCGATCTGCCCTCGGCTCGGAGGGAGAGAAGAGGCGGAACATTACTCAGCGCGCAGAGCGGCGCCACGGAGGCGATGCAGCCCACGTCCTTCACACAATCGCCTGCGGGGCGTCATTTGACCGATGAACAGAAACGGGTCTCTCGAGAGATGGGGCAGCGAGCTTGCGCGGTGGCTTGCGCAGGCCGCCAGCGCGGAACGCTGCATTCAAAGCAAGGGCGCTCATGCGCCACCCCTACGCGGGCAGCCTGGGCGCGAATACGACAATTCCCCAAGGTCGTATCGGTGAAACCGGGGGGAGGAAAGGGGGAGGGAAGAGGAGGAAGCCTGGCGGTTTTTCTGTGCTTCCCTTCCCCTTCCTTCTCCTCTTGGGCAGCCTGGGCGCGAATGTCTCCGGCTCGACGGGCTACGTCGTAATTGGAGTCCGCCATCCCCTATTCCCAGACAGCCTGCGCTCTCGAGGGAAGCGGAGCGCAGTGCTATGAATCCAGCGCTTCCGCTTCAAGCTGGTGGTGGCGGCGGGGAACGTGGGGGGGGGGCAGGACTGGCAGGAGGAGGGGGAGACGAACGAAGCCGTGGCCAAGCTGGGCGACGCAACGACCAAACTGCGGGAGGCGATGCGCAGTTAGGAGTCCCAATGCGGTGCGTTGACAGACCGTGCGATGACCTCGAGATCCCCAAACACCTCGCCGCCTGGTCCGTCATCGCACGGCTCTGGGACCTCGGAGGTCTCAGTCGCCCGAGGTTCGCTCGGAGACTGACCCAAGTTCCGAATCCACTCGGTCACCCCGAATCCCCAAGACTCAACACACGGTGTGGTCACCGCACCGTTTGGGGGCGCTGAGGGTCTCGGGGAGGCCTCCCGAAGTGCCCAGGAGACCCCCAGAGGACTCGGATGTCCGCAAGCACTACTCAACACATCCTCCGAGGAGGCCGCCCAGACGTCTACAACGGGGACAGGGCAGATGATGGCGGAGGGCCGCACCGCATCGTTGATGCATCGGGATGAAGCGGCGACGACGGGATGGAGAGAGCCGGGACGCATCAACGATGCGCGATCCTCCCACACCCATTCTCTCTGGCCTTGATTGGGCGGCCAAGACTCCTCCTCCTCTTCCTCCTCCTTCTCCTCTTCCTTCTCCTTCTCCCCGGAGCCCTCGATTGGGGGTCCCAAAACGGTGTGGTGACAGACCAGGCGGTGACCTCGAATTCCCGAGAGATCCCACCGCATGGTACGTCGACGCACGGTTTTGGGACCCCTGAGGCCCCAGTTGCCCGAAACATCATCGGAAACCTACCAAAAATCCACCAACCGTAACGTTTGGGGCCCCGCGAATCGAGTGAGGTGCAACATTAGGGGGAAGCCAGATCAGGGGGGAGCCGTCGACCTGGAAACGGTAAAACACATTGCCGATAGGTCCGCGAGGGGCCCCCCGATAGCGACTCCACGCCTTCCCGGGCGGGGCGCGGCGGGGCTATCGGGCCCCCACCGGCGATCAACGGGCGACAAGGTTGGGTCGGGCATGTCCTCCTACAGGCGGATGTTGGAAGAACTGCGATTCGCGGTCAACAAAAAAAAACAAGACATCCAACTCAGTCAAGAGTGGTGACAGGATCGTCCCCAGACTGTTGTTGGACTTGCCGTGAAGATCCCTCCCGTCGAGGGACAGACCCGCCTTCACGAGGAGGGGCGGAGGCGCATCTCAGTCAAGAGTGGTGACAAGATCGTCCCCCGACTGCTGTTGGACTTACCGTGAGGATCCCTCCCGTCGAGGGACAGACCCGCCTTCGCGAGGAGGGGCGGAGGCGCTCCCCCCTCGAGCCTACCCCCCCCCCCCTTGAGCCCCGAAGCACCCGGGAGCCTCCAGCACAGGAATCGCCCGAAACGCGGCCGGGCGGAGGCCGAGGAGGAGGACGAGGCGAAGGAAAAGGAGGAGGAGGAGGAGGACGAGGAGGAGGAGGAGGAGGAGGAGGAGGAGGAGGAGGAGGAGGAGGAGGAGGGGGAGGACGACGAGGAGGAGAAGGAGGAGGAGGACGACGAGGAGAAGGAGGAGGACGACGAGGAGGAGGAGGACGACGAGGAGGAGGAGGAGGACCAGAGGAGAAGGAGGCATCGAAACCCGCTGGCCTCCCCTCGCCACCACGGTCGGGGCTTCTCCCTCCCCCTTCCCCTCGTGGGGAAGAAGAAGAAGAAGAAGAAGAAGAAGAAGAAGAAAAAGAGGGAGCCTCCAGCAGGGCGGTCCGAAGGGGCGGGCGGCCAGAAACTGACCGCGGCGGCGTCCCGCGAGGCCTCGGCGCAGGGCCTCGGCAGGGAGCGGGGCCTCCGCATGTGGAGGGCCCTGCCGAGCGTGGCGGCGATGGCCCCGGCCTCCGCGGCCCCGCGGGTTCCCCATCGGCCGGAAGAAGCGGGCAGAACCGTGAAGCAGGAAGGCGTTGGAAGCAGATTGGGTTTCCGCCCGCCTCCTGAGGAGGAGGGACGAGGGAGAGCCACTCGACTCTTGATACAGGAAGGCGGCTGAAGCAGATTGGGAACTGGGAGTCCAAAGACACCCGATTTCAACGATCGATGGGTACGCCCCTGCTGAGCGTCAAGTCATTGTTTTAGGCGAAGAAAACGGACTTCGCTCGAAGCGTGTTCTAAGGCAACAGTCCGTGTCCAGATAAACGAACATATACGAATACATTAGCCTGACGAAGGACCCAACCATGTGCAGTTGCGAGTACCGCATTGTGGGTACCAGTTTCGGTGGAGCTCCTATGGGGCCACAAAACTTGTGAGGGGTGCGCCGATTTTGGTGGCGCGGACGCATGTGGACACCGCCACTGGGGCCTTCGGTGTAGCTCCCTATAAACGCTGCCCTGGGCGAGGGAGACGCATGCAAACTGCGCCATGGGGACCTTCGCTGGAGCTCCTTATGGGGCCACGAAGCGCTGTCATGGGTGGGGGACACGCATGCGAACTGCGCCTCTGGCGCCTTCGGTGGAGCTCCTTATGGGGCCACGAAGCGCTGTCCTGGGTGGGGGACACGCATGCGAACACCCAGATTGAGGCCTTCGGTGGAGCTCCCTATGGGGCCACGAAGCGCTGGGCAGGGGAGACGCATGCGAACACCCCCGCTGGGGCCTTCGGTGGAGCTCCCTATTGGGCCACGAAGCGCTGCCCTGGGTGGGGGAACCGCATGCGCCCACTCCACTGGGGCCTTCGGTGGAGCTCCCTATGGGGCCACGAAGCGCTGCCCTGGGTGGGGGAACCGCATGCGCCCACCGCCACTGGGGCCTCCGGTGGAGCTCCCTGTGGGGCCACGAAACGCTGCTCTGGGTGGGGGAACCGCATGCGCCCACCCCCGCTGGGGCCTTCGGTGGAGCTCCCTATGGGGCCACGAAACGCTGCCCTGGGTGGGGGAATCGCATGCGCCCACCCCCACTGGGGCCTTCGGTGGAGCTGCCTGTGGGGCCAAGAATCGCTGCCCTGGGTGGGGGAACCGCATGCGCCCACCCCCACTGGGACCTCCGGTGGAGCTCCCTATGGGGCCACGAAACGCTGCCCTGGGTGGGGGAACCGCATGCGCCCACCCCCACTGGGGCCTTCGGTGGAGCTCCCTATGGGGCCACGAAGCGCTGCCCTGGGTGCGGGAACCGCATGCGCCCCCTCTCACCGGGACCTTCGGTGGAGCTCCCTATGGGGCTACGAAGCGTGTGAGAGGTGTGCCGAAAGCGGAGGCAAGGAGGGGGAGGAGGGAGGAGGGGGAGGAGGGAAGGAAGGAAGGAGGAAGGAAGGAGGAACGCGGGGCACCGTCTCTTCAAAACGAGGACCCAACACCACAGGATGGTTGGGAACAAATCAAAGAAAACGCCAAGGGTCCACCCCATAATTTGGAATATCTTAGAACGAGATCTGGAGTCCATATCAATTGATGTCTTTTATTATGACGCTGTGCGATGGACGCGCCCAACCACGCATATGAACACTGCCCCCCCGTCCGCGAGAACAGCCGCGTGACGCTCGAAACCGACGTGGGCTCCTGTACTTCTACGTCCTTCTTTCGCTTCTGATTCATGGAGCCTTCCGCCCATGAGCCGCCGGCTAGGGACCACGCGGACCCCAGGGTGCCCTGCTGAGCCCGTTCGGCGTCTGAGCCCACTCGGCCGCCGAGTGGACTCACGATCGAGCCCAACGGGCCCCAATTCCCCCCGACTCTGTCGGAAAGCTGAGCCCGTCAGCTGCGCGTTCGGCGGCCCAGCGGGCTCAGACGCCGAACGGCTCAGAAGGGACCTGTGGCGTGGCATGGGCTGAACAAGAGGAGGAGGAGGAGGAGGAGGAGGAGGAGGAGGAGGAGGAGGAGGAGGAGGAGGAGGAGGAGGAGGAGAGGAGGAGGAGGAGGACGGGAAGAGCCGGGGAAGGGGGGAGGGCGGCGGGGGGCGGGAGGGCCCCTGAGATCGTGAAGGAGGAGGGGGAGGAGGAGGCAGGAGGAGGAGGAGAGGAGGAGGAGGAGGAGGAGTGGAGGAGGAGGAGGAGGAGGAGGAGGAGGAGGAGGAGGAGGAGAGGAGGAGGAGGATGGAGGAGGAGGAGGGAGAGGAGAGGAGGAGAGGAGGAGGAGGAAGGAGGAGGAGGAAGGGAAGGAGGAGGAGGGAAGGAGGAGGAGGAGGGAGGAGGAGGAGAAGGAGGAGGAGGGAAGGAGGAGGAGAGGAGGAGGAGGAGAGGAGGAGGTAATGCCCAGGGGGGGGGGAGCGCGGGGGGGTGGGGGGGGGAGGGCCCCGGAGATCGTGCCGTCGCAATTCTGGTGGCACTGGGCGCTCTCGCCCAGGTCCGGGCTGCGAGGCCCCCGCAGGCCGATCCGGCTTGAGAGGTGCTGCGCAGAGGGCGTGCCTGGGGCTCCAGGGCTTCTTCCAGGACCCGAGGTGCTCCGACAAGAGCATGGCCATCTGCGTGCGAGTCCAAGTCGTCAGCCGGCCTTCTCTGTCAGCCTTTCCTTCCTTGGTTCGGTACCGCGAGGCTGCAGCCTTCGTCGAGACGTCGGATCTCAGCGACGACGCGAGCAGGCTGGACGGGGAGGGGGACGGCAGGGCGGGAGACAAGGGGGGCAAAAAGGGAGAGGCTCACGCCTTCCCCGACGTAGCGGGACCGCGGCGCGCGCTGGAGGCTTCTCCCGCGGCCTCAACAGATGCCTCCCCAGGCCACCACCACAACCACCATCATCCCCTCGCCTCCCCTCCCCTCGCCTCCCCTCTCCTCCCCTCGCCTCCCCTCCCCTCCCCTCCCCTCGCCTCCCCTCCCCTCCCCTCGCCTCCCCTCGCCTCCCCTCCCCTCCCCTCACCTGCCCTCTTCTCCCCTCGCCTCCCCTGGCCCCCCCCGATCGCCAGGCAGGAGTACAGTGAAGGGCACTGGCAGCACGGTGACGAGCACCTCGGGGGAACCAGCAGGTACCAATACCGCTACTCTCCGGACCACTCCCGGGGTGCGTGCACACCAGGATTTCGGAGCGAATGCAGCTGTGGCGGCGAGGGCCTCCCGTGCGGGAGGCCCACGGGCCATCACGAGGGCATCGGTACCTTCTCCCTCCTCTGACACCTGGTCTCCGGGGAGTCCCGCCTCCAGGAGGGGCACCACGTTCCGCTGGATGAAATTCCAGCAGCGGGTGCACCTCGGGGAGTAGTAGACCTCGAGGGTGACCGCGTCGACGAGGTCAGAGCCGCCGCGGCCGTCCACGACGCCGCACGCCAGGAGCTCCAGGGCGAGGCCGTGCAACGCGGCGCGCATGGGAGGCCGCACCGCCCTCTCTGTTCAGCGCAGCCGGCCCTCGGCTGCGCTCTGCCCTCGTCCTCGAGGGGCCCGAGCCAAAAAAGCTTCCGGGAGGGCGGCGGAGAGAGCGGCGGCGAGGCGCATGCGCTCCAAGGCCAGGAGCGCCTGCTGTGGCGGTGTCGCGGCGGCGGCCCCCGCGGCACGCCCCACCGCGGCCGGGCTGGACAGCGTGGCGCTCCGCCCAGGGGGGCCGGGGGATGGGAGAAGCTCGGGGACGCTGATGCCTGGGCACTAGGGCATGGCTAGCGTGTGGCGCGGGAGCGTGGTGGGCCAGAACTGGCACGACACACACAGAGAGAGAGAGAGCGGTCCTGTCGTAACGAAGCTCTGTTGGGCACCATCTGGATGGCCGCTTCTGCGACGCGCCTTCCCCATGCTACTGACGTCTTGGCTCTTTCTGCGAGGTCTCGCGGCTGGCGTGTCGCGCAGAAGCGTGGTGGGCCAGCGCCGGCAGCGCGACACCTGAAGCAAACGCCCCTGGCCGCAAGAGAAAACCGGCTCAGGGAGCGCCGCCGTCGGCAGAGGGCTTCCCTACCGAGGGCCCGTGGGCAAAGGGTCGGTTTGCATCGGCCGTGCTGTGCCCTCAGCACCGGCGACGCATTGGCACGCCCAGACACCCTCGCGGCGTACAGAAAAGCACGGCGGAGGGTGTTGGGCGCGCTTGCGGCTTCCAGGGGCCACCACCTGGCCACGGGACCATCGTGAGAAGGAGGCCGTCATTTTTTGGACTCTTGACCGTCTATTTGCGTGGAGACGGGGGGCCCCCAAGGAAAACCTTGCCTTCACGCAGGGCGGGATTCATTTGCACGGCTTTGCGGCCCAGCGCTGTTTGAAACGGCGGCGGAGGGGGTTGGAGGGGGGGGGGGGACGGCATGCAAGTAAAACTGCCAGAGGCTCCTGCACAAGCTTCCCTTCAGGCTCGAGCAAACTTGGAAACGATGCACTGCAAGACGCCCTCGAGCTGGTCCCGGGGAAGTCGTCTCAACCTCTGGCACGGGAGGTCCACGTCCCCGTTGCGGACAAGTCACGATGTCGGAGGTCTTGGCTGGCAGTCAGCGTCCTCGTTTCTCCCTCTCCCAATCGCCCTCGTGGAGGGAACACGAAGGCGGACCAACACGGTCCGTCGAGGCCGCTAAGATATCCCAGACCTCTCCAGGGCAGCGTTCTGACCGGGGTCCCGAGGCGAATTCAGCTGTGGCGACGAGGGCCTCCAAGGATGCCTCGCAGACCGCACCCAGGAGGGACGGGCATCGGTATCGGGAGTGTTTGTCTTCGGAGGAGACGAGGGGGGGTTGCATTGGCAGGTGCGACGCTGGTCTGCTGCAGTCAGCGTCTCCTAACTTTGTCCGCCAAGCCGCAGCTCCTTGGCAAACGATCTAACGCGCTTGCCCGCACCCCCCCTGTCCCGCCCCAACGTGGGAGGCCGCCCTACCCATCAAACCTACTCCTCCTCCTCCTCCTCCTCCTCCTCCTCCTCCTCATCCTCCTCCTCCTCCTCCTCTTCCCTCTTCCCTCCTCCGTCCTCATGATGCTGCTCAGCCTCCGTCTCGGTGTCGTCGTTGTCGCCCTGTTAAAACATCTGCTTAGCCTCCAAATCGTCGGCGTCGTCGTCCTCTTCCCTACCTTCTCCATCTGCTCACCCTCCTGCTCCTCCTCAGTGTTCGTCTCGACCTCCTGCTCGTCATCGCCACTCGCTCTCGTCCTTCTCATGTTTTCGTCGTCCTGCTTCGCTCCTCTTCCTCCACTCGTCTGGGCACACTTCTGGACATCTGCTGAATCCGCAGTTCCGTTCGACTCCAGTCAGGCGACCAGCGGCCAAGAAGGTGCTGGGCCCGTCCAGTCCGCGCAGAGCGCTTTGTACTTCAGCTGCCGGGCTTCCCGCTCGGGATGGCTCCTCCTCCCCCTCCCATGCTCCTCCTCCTCTTCCCACTCCTCAGCACACCGACGTCGCGATGACGTCGGCGCCGGCTTCTGACGCCGTGTGACTCGTTCCATCTCTCACGATCGAGGCTCTCCGATGCAGCCATCGCGCTGTCATGAGGAGCGGTGGGCAAGGAACGAAGGGACCTTCCTGTCCACGGCGAGCCTGAGCCACACATAGGTTCCCCGAGAGAGGCCCAAGGAACGGCCCGAAAACTAGAGCCCATCCTGACCCAACATGTCTTTCTTCCAACGACGCCGGCCGATTCTGCACCACTGATGGCGCTGCGCCCCCATTCTCCCCTCGGTCCCCTGCGGCGGCACATCCGACTTGTGGGGCTGCTCTTGACCCGCGCGTTTCCCGCCAACGGGGCGCATCGACCAACGGCATGCTGCGAAAGGTCATCTGGACCTGCTTTTGAGCGTCTTGGTGCACGACGCGAGCCAACGCCTACAGAGGGCCTGAGATGCCTGGTGACACGGGGCCCCAAGGTTTAGCTCAACTAAGGATCGGCCTCCGCCAGCCTCTGCCGCCCTGCGCAGCACGCCCGCACCCCCCGAGCGCCGCCGCGGCTGCGACCTCGCGCGGCCGTTCCTGAAGAACGGCCGCGGCGGCGACGCCGACGTCGACTCGGGCGCTGACGGCCACGGCCGCAGCCACGGCCATGGCGACGACGAAGACGACGACGGCCACGGCGGCGACGGCCCCGACGACAGCGGCAACAGCGGCGACGCCGGCGGCGGCGGCAGCGACGACGACAGCGGCGACGACGGCTGCGGCGGGGACGGCGACGCCTACGACGGCGCCGACGGCGACGCCCACGGTGACAGGCTGGCAGCGGCGACGACAACGACCCCTGAGCCCGGCATCCCCTCGGGCCCTCCTAGGTAGGCCGCCAATATGTTGTACTGCATCACAGTGACCTGCGCGCCACGCTCGCTGGCCTGCAGGCACGCAGTGCCGCCCGCTGCGAGCTCGCCCCTGCTTTCTGTCAGGATGTGGGAGCCGAGCGGCCCTATACCGTCCCCGGATGCGCAGTTGACGTGCGGTTCCGCTTTATTGAGTATTGTGTCTCAGGGAGACGAAATCTACACATGTCAACTGCTCCCTGGCCAGGCCAATCCTGAACTCAGCTGCGGTGTGAAGGCCACGCCCTCCTGGCTTGGCCAGGAGGGCGTGTGCAAAGCTCCTGTGTTCAGGATGGGCATGGCCAGGGAGCAGTGGATATGTAGTATGGATTTCGTCGCATGTCTGTGTTATTCGCCGTCCTCGCCCACGACCCAACGGGCGACCCACCCGCGAACCAAGGCGCCACCCGCGTGCGATCCACACGAGACACACCCGCGACGCACCCGCGACCCGCCCACGACCCGCCCGCGACCCGCCGCGCGATTCGCCCTCCGACCCGCCCAAGATCCGTGCGCCACGCAGTGACACGACTCGGGAGGAGAACGACGCCTGCGGCGGACTTCTGACAATTTCCTTGCGAGCCCCGTAAACTGCCGACGACACCCCCGCCCCGCTCGTATCATCTGTGTGGGCTCCATGCAGATTCCTCAAGTAGTGCTTGCACTGAGGGGTCCTCGCTTGCGTGCAGAAAGAACTGCATGGGTGTCCCGAATATTCGCCACAATCCCGCCTGGTGCCGCCGTGTTGCCGGTAAGTGTCCCGCGGATTCGCCACGTTACGGCCCGTTGCCACCCGTGGGCGTGTCCCGGAGATTCGCCACGTTCTGGCCAGTTATCGTCCGTTGCCGCCCGCTGCTGCCCACGGGGGTATTCCCGGGGATTCGCCATGCTCCGGCCCTCTGCCGCCCTGTTGCGCCCTTGGGCGCATCTTCGGACCTCGCGGCACCAGACGCCCAGAAGACCGAAGAAACGGATACCCCAAACCATTCAACATAACAGAAATGAATTCAATATGATGGAGCGTGCTGGTGGGGTCTGAAATCACTAAGGGGCCCCGTGAGGCTTCTCGGGCGCCCTCCCGACTGCTTTGGGCTTGCAGTCAAGTCCTGCCAATAGAGGCCTTCTAGACAGGGTCCGAGCGGAAATGGTCGGAGCATCGCGCCGCATCGCCGATATATCGGCGATGCATCATCGACGTCGGCGATGCATCGGCGACGTCGACCTGAAGCGAGTTGGGCTCCGCATCGAGCCGCATCGCCGATGCATCAGCGATGCGGCGCGATCCTCCGACACTATCTACTCCTGTCCCATGTAGGAGACCTAGAGCCAGGGACGTCCGGGAGCTGAGGAGGCCCGAAACCCGGGGAAATCTGCAGGGGCGGTCAGGGATTCCAAGGATCCGAAATCTGTTGGGGGGGTCCACCCTCCTCGTCCTCCTCCTCCTCCTCCTGCTCCTCCTCGCCCCCTCCTTCTCCTTCTCGTCCTCCTCGACCCCTCCTCCTCCTCCTCCTCCTCCTCCTCCTCTCCTCCTCCTCCTCCTCCTCCTCCCTCCTCCTCCGCCTCCTCCTCCGCCTCTCCTCCTCCGCCTTCTCTTCCTCCTCCTCCTCCTCCTCCTCCTCCTCCTCCTCCTCCTCCTCCCTGTTTGTTGGCTCCACCCCGAGCTCCATCCCTCGGTGGCTCCGGAGGTGTCCAGAGGAAGGGCGACATTCCAGAAGGCCACCCCCCTTGGGAGTTCTCCGAGGGAACGACTCCAGCCGCGTGAGTTTTAAGATCAAGTGTCATTGCACTGGCCTTGCAGACGTGCTGCAGCAGATTTGTGCGTGGATTTCTCCGTGCATCCTTTCCCGAAGCGGCGAGCGCAAAACGAAGTGAATGTCGCGTGGATCTTTGTTGGCCTCCATTCCTGACCAATCAACCCCGCACGAAATGCACTGCGACATCCAGAACGCAATTCTCCAGGACACTCTGGGCTCATCCCATACCTCTTCCTAACGAAATCCGCTCTGCGACGTCGGCGCCATGACGCGTGACGATCAGCCTCCCTGACTACCCACCAAACCACCCCAAGCCAACCCGAAGACCCGAATTTCGGGTTGGGGGGGGGGTACGGACTCCATATGTGTTTTCTC